CGGGTGCTGGGGGTGAAGGGCAAGGGACCGAGCGTTAATCAGCGTGTGACTGCGGCTCTCCTAGGAATTGCTGGGCAGTCGGGTTCTGTGGGTGAAGGGCAAGGGACCGAGCGTTAATCAGCGTGTGACTGCGGCTCTCCTAGGAATTGCTGGGCAGTGCTGTGCGCTGGGTGAAGGGTTAGGGACCGAGCGTTAATCAGCGTGTGACTGCGGCTCTCCTAGGAATTGCTGGGCAGTGCTGTGCGCTGGGTGAAGGGTTAGGGACCCCGGCTGGGCAGTGCTGGGACCAGCCTCCCCTCCCCCCGCCCCCGTTTACTGGCGACCCAGTGCCCGGCCCCCGGACGGGTGGGAACCAAGGGACCATGGCTCGAAGGGTTAGGGACCGAGCGTTAATCAGCGTGTGACTGCGGCTCTCCTAGGAATTGCTGGGCAGTGCTGTGCGCTGGGTGAAGGGTTAGGGACCGAGCGTTAATCAGCGTGTGACTGCGGCTCTCCTAGGAATTGCTGGGCAGTGCTGTGCGCTGGGTGAAGGGTTAGGGACCGAGCGTTAATCAGCGTGTGACTGCGGCTCTCCTAGGAATTGCTGGGCAGTGCTGTGCGCTGGGTGAAGCGCTCCAGAAGTCACAGATTTACGCTTGACGCGGCACAGTCACTGTTTGAAAGGGTGTAAAACTAGACAACTGTCTGAACGGCTGCACGCCGGCAACACACCAGCCAGCGGGGACGTCTCCCTGGAGCGTCCTGGCTTCCCTTGAAGACACTGAACCGCACAACACCACAAAAGGAGGGAGCACGGCCCAGAGTCACTTTATTGTACCCTCCGGGGGCAGCCTGGGTACAAAGACACGGAGACAAAGCTGGATTCTAGGTGGGACGTTAGGAAAAACTTCCTGCCAGTCGGGGGGGGAGGGTGAAACACTGGAATAAGTTGCCGAGGGGGTTGTGGAATCCCCATCCCTGGAGATATGGAAGAGCAGGTTGGACAGACACTGGTCAGGGATGGGCTAGACGGGGCTGGGTCCTGCCGTGAGGGCAGGGGGCAGGACTTGATGACCCCCGAGGTCCCTTCCAGTTCTATGGCTCTAGGATGTAAAAACTCTCCCATGTGAAAGCTGCCGAGGCTGAGAGGACAGTAAGGGGCCTGCAGAAAGTAAAGCTACATGCAATCCTGTGGGACCCCAGCCCCTGCCCCCCTTTTCCTTTTCCCTGTGGTTTGCACCTCTGCTGGGCTGTGCTGGGGTGGGGGCTAAGAAAAGGGTGTTTCACTCCACTCCCGGGGGGGTTTTGTGCCTGTTGTTACAGGTGGCTTGACATACGCGACCCAAAGCACCGACACTGGGGAGCAGAGCGTGTAATTTGGCCAAAAATAGGTGGAATTGCACCAATTTGCAAAATACCGCACACGGAATTTTCCATCTTTTGGAGCAGAATTTGTCCTGTGTTGGCGTGAGATGGCCCGAGGGGTCAGGGTGTGAACTCGGCTCGCCGGCCGGCCGGCTTTGACCCCGCTAGTCGAGGAAGGAGAAAACGCTCAGGTCGGGGAAACGCTTTGAAACCCGCTGGCAAAGCCGCCGTGCGAGGAGTACGGCACAGGGCGGAGTCGTGGGCTAACACTGGAGCAGGGCTTCTTAAACAGGGGAACACCAAACAAGAATTTTTTTTTATGAGGAACACCAAGGATTATTGATAGAAATGGAGCCGTGTTAGTCTGGGGTAGCTGAAGCAAAATGCAGGACAATGTAGCACTTTAAAGACTAACAAGATGGTTTATTAGATGATGAGCTTTCGTGGGCCAAGGATTATTGGTTGAGCCAAAAAAGAAAGAAAGAAAAAAAAGGTCGGGGGCTGGGGATGTGGGAGGTTAAGGGGTCAGAGTTGGGGTGAGGAGGAGTTCAGGGCAAGGAGCTGGGAGTGTGGGGGTGCAGGAGTCAGGGCTTGAAAGTGTAGGGGGCTCAGGACAGGGGACTGGGGCGGGGGGGGGGGGAAGTTATTGAGGGAAAAAAAGGTCGGGGGAAGTTATTGAGAAAAAAAGGTCACCTGCCCCTTTAAGGGCGGCCGTTTTGAATTGCGTTGTTCTCCGCGGCACACCGGCGCGCCATGGAAGGCGGTTTAAGTAACACTGCTCTAGACGCTGCCCACGAGGGAGTAGGGGTCTAAGGGCTCCCCCTGCGCCACAGACCCTCCACGCCTGCCCCACGCCGGCCCAGGGGCCCCCCCCGGGGCGGGATATTCTTTTTGGTGAACCGGATGTCTTTACAGAACAAGACGGGTGTTGGGCCTATGCCAAGCTGGTACTGCCAAACATAGAGGCTCTCTCGGGGCTCCAGGGACACTTCTATTGACTCCTCCTCATTTCGGGCTTCATTCCAGTCCTCCTGCTCCGTCTTGACGCTCCTCCCGCCGTACTGCGCGCTGAGGGAGAACTGGTACTTAGCGATGGCTTCGGTCAGGGCCCCGGACTGGTAGGAGGCCGAGATGCTCACGCTCCAGTTGTGCTCCACGCTGCTCATCTTCTCCTTGGCGTAGCCCACCTTCCGGGTGAGCTTCTTGTTCCAGGCCACGGGCGTGTTGGAGTCGTTGCAGATGGTCTTGATGGCCTCCCAGGTGCCGAAGGCCGCGCCCTGGGTCAGGGCCAGCCCGCCCGGCAGGAAGCTGACCACGTCGGGGTGGAAGGAGTAGGTGTCGGCGTCCGTGTTCTCGTGGAAGTTGGTGGTGCGGTGGTACTGGACGCCCCATTCGTCGTGGGGCTCGACGAAGTAGTAATAGTCCTTGATGCCCCAGTAGTAGAGGCCGTGTCTGCAGGCCGGGTGCAGGGTGTACTCCACGGCGTCGGCGTCGCTGTTCATGTTGGTGACCCGGCGGTAGACGCCCCGGCTCTGGAAGATGATGTAGAAGTAGCCCAGGGCGCAGTTGGGGTGGAGGCTGTAGACCACAGAGCTCTCGTCCGTGTTCATGTTGGACACCCGGCGGTAAGCGCTGCCCTTGAGGATGTAGAAGAGGTCGTCCTGGTGGGCCAGGTAGTGGGCCCCGCCCTGGCAGGAGGGGTGCAGGCTGTACACGGTCAGGTCCTTGCCTTCCTTGAAGTTGGTCGACCTCATGTAGCAGCCCAGGTCGGAGCGGACGATGTAGTAATAGGCATTCACCCCGCAGAAGTCCACCCCCGGGGCATGGCTCTTGGGCACTATGGCAGGCATGGTAGGTCGTCCTGGTGGGCCAGGTAGTGGGCCCCGCCCTGGCAGGAGGGGTGCAGGCTGTACACGGTCAGGTCCTTGCCTTCCTTGAAGTTGGTCGACCTCATGTAGCAGCCCAGGTCGGAGCGGACGATGTAGTAATAGGCATTCACCCCGCAGAAGTCCACCCCCGGGGCATGGCTCTTGGGCACTATGGCAGGCATGGTGCGGGGGCAGACGGGCTGCCCTGGCCCCTCCCCCGCACGCCCCGTTGGGGTGCAACCGGGCAGCCCCGAGCTCTGGAAGCCCCTGGCCAGAGACAGGTAAAGGTCCCTGAAAGGGTTCCTAATCCCTCGAAACCCTCTGCCCTGCGCCATCCCACCCTGAGACCCTGGGCCCTGCCCCTCCTGACCCTGCCCCCCCCGGGCCCTGGGCCCTCGCCCTGAGACCCTGGCCCCCCCCGGGCCTGGCTCCATCGCCCCGCCCGCGCCCTGAGACCCCGGCCCCCCACGCCCT